TGAAAGGGAAAATAACAGTCATGACTTGTGTGGACTGTTAAGGCCATAGCACAGGGGGAAAGGTAAAATAACAGCCATGACTTGTGTGGACTGTTAAGGCCATAGAACAGGGTCAAAGGTAAAATAACAGCCTTGACTTGTCTGGACTGTTCAGGCCATAGCACAGGGTCAAAGGTAAAATAACAGCCATTACTTGTCTGGACTGTTAAGGCCATATCAAAGGGTCAAAGGTAAAATAACAGCCATGACTTGTCTGGTCTGTTCAGGCCATAGCACAGGGTCAAAGGTAAAATAACAGACAGGACTTCTTTGGAATGTCAAGGCCATAGCACAGGGTCAAAGGTAAAATAACAGACATGACTTGTCTGGACTGTGAAGGCCATAGCACAGGATCAAAGGTAAAATAACAGCCATAACTTGTCTGGACTATTGAGGCCATAGCACAGGATCAAAGGTGAAATAACAGCCATGACTGGTGTGGACTGTTAAGGCCATAGCACAGGGTGAAAGGTAAAATAACAGACATGACTTGTGTGGACTGTTAAGGCCATAGCACAGGGTCAAAGGTAAAATAACAGCCATGACTTGTCTGGACTGTTAAGGCCATATCAAAGGGTCAAAGGTAAAATAACAGCCATGACTTGTGTGGACTGTTAAGGCCATAGCACAGGGTCAAAGGTAAAATAACAGCCATGACTTGTCTGGACTGTTAAGGCCATAGCACAGGGTCAAAGGTAAAATAACAGCCATGACTTGTCTGGACTGTTAAGGCCATAGCACAGGGTCAAAGGTAAAATAACAGCCATGACTTGTCTGGACTGTTAAGGCCATAGCACAGGGTCAAAGGTAAAATAACAGCCATGACTTGTCTGGACTGTTAAGTCCATAGCACAGGGTGAAAGGTAAAATAACAGCCATGCCTTGTCTGTCAGGAATCACTGAACGTTTTGTGCTGAACCTTGGTAGAACTTGAGGTTATAGAGTATACACACCCAGGTAGTTTTTATGCAGCCAAGGTCAAGGCTCCTTGAAATTTTACAGATGCACTGTAAAAAAAGATATGGCATTTGGAACTTCTTATTTTCACTTTTTTGCCAACAAATGATGGTGGGCTGTTGAAATCCTCTTCCGTCTGCAGTCTGTTATTCATCCATCCAACATTGGTCTTGTTGTCCCTTTCTCTCCAGAGGTAGAGGACAGATCCTTCTCAAGTTTCATATGAAGACTCCCTTTGGCCATGGTTGTGCATGTTATATTTGAGTGATCAGAAAAACAAGATGGCCACCAGGCAACCATCTCAGATTTCGACAGTTCAAATTACTGCAGATAAAATGTTTGCTGTCATATTTGTGTGTATTTTTTTATCATCAGATTGCCATGTAACTTCACATACATGTTCAGAAACATAATTTTTTGTGCAAGTTCTCATTTCAACCTTGCTAAGATAAGGTCATTAACCACATGTTGCTCTAAAATTTAGAACAAAATATTTGGTCTAAGAACATAGACAATGCTGATATATTTTATGCAGTTTACTCTGCCATGATTGCCATCTAACATGACTAATTAAACTAACTCTACTTCTACTCCTCACCCACTCTGCTAAGATTCTACAAGCATGCACTCTACTACACCAGCATATGCTGCTACATAACAAATATGGTGTATTAAGTTCAGGTCTTGTTGTATGTTGATATGTAAGTAATTCTTTAGCTAGTAATAGAAAAAGCCAGGATTTTACAATATTTAGCTTCGCTGTTTTCTGGTGAACACATAACACATCCTAAGATCTGAATGCAACAAATTTATTTTTGCTGCAGAATTCTAGCAAGGTATGCCTTCAACCTTAATATCGACTGGGAGCTGGATGACAAGAAGCTGCCACCCAAACCTGTGCGGGACATCACTGAATCTGTATCCGATATTCTTGTCAAACACCACCTGTTTAGCTGGGAACTATAAACTATTTTTTGTCTAGACAGACACCTTTCCAAGGGTTCCTTTCACGGAACTTGTACCATGCTATGCATGACAGTAGGTTCGACTTTAGAAAACTGATTTCACAGGACGTTAAGTACTAATCATACCAGTGTTAAAACTCAAAAACTAAATTGAAATTGTTCTATTTTTCTCCAGAACAAGCTGCAAAGCTTGTATGATTTTGGTACAAAAGGTGAATAAGTATTTTTAATCATTATTTGTCCCAGATGGCTTGTTTGTTTAGTGCTATATCAAAATCCTAGTTTAATTGAGTGTATCCATTGATACCAATTACTGCAGAACAATAATCATAAAATTATCTTTATTTAAATAATTAAAATTTGGGAAGGATATCTTGGTTTATTTGATGATTACACTGACACATGCATGATTGTGTTATTGGCTTTTGGGGCAATGCACAATTAACTTTTCTCTCAAAAGTTTTACTCTGCATTATGCTGATGCTTGTCCTCTTTATTAAATGTTCAGATGTATTTGTAAAGGGTTTCCGTTGTTTGGTATCTACAAGGCATACACGATTGTTTCACCAATGTATTTTGTTGACTTATATAATTACTGAAACAGTAACTTTACGGTTGTGCATAATAACTTCAAAAAACTTTCAATGATTGTAACATCTTCGTTGTGGATGTAAAAACCATTGCTACTGTGTTTTTGTTTTCTGATTTGACAGAGTGTTAGCACAGCTTTCATTCAAGTTATCGATGGAACGGGAATTACCAGCTAGGAGAAAACAGGGTGATCACAATCTGAAAGAGAGTGTTTGCGACATGCTCTTACAGCATCATCTGTTTAGCTGGAACATCTAAACTCACTGCTGCACTGCCTCCTCATATCTATGCTAAAGATCAAACTTCATATAAAAAGACAATCACATTCAAAGAATGAAAACAAAATTAAAAGTTGTTATCTAAAAGCAATCTCTTTTCCATGATATTCTGTTTACATAATATGACTTGGTTTCTCTTGTTATTTAATTAAGGGATTTTTTCTTTTTAAATGATGAGAATCTATTGGTTAGGTTTGCTTTATATTCAGAACACATATTGTGTGTTTCTCTTTTTAAAAGTACAACATAACCATGTCATCAGTTTTGCTTGCAATCTTTATTGATGGTAAACACAATTTGTAAAAAAATTTGATAGAAATAAATTGCCAAAGTATTTTGTTTATGATTGAAATCCAGTCTATAAATAATTATATTATATTATTTATATATTTTCTGCCTGTTATGGATGGAATAATTGAGTTTGAAATCCATGGTTACAATAATGACAGTTTTTTCTGTAAATACATTCCCTACAAAGATTTTTTTATTATCTTTTTCTTACATAGAGCTCTATTGTTTTATATTTACAAAACATATTTACATGGTGTTGAGCATGATTAGACTTTTGAATAGATATATTTATTACATGTATATGTTATATGAAAAATAATCGGTCAGATTCATTGTTATTGAACTTTAATTTTATTGCTTTTTTCTTGTCAGATATTATTTAAGTGTTAACATTGAATAAAAACAACAATAGATACTCTCACCATTAATGTACTCAGTGTAATGGCATAAAGTATCCTTATTGACTATGTTGAGCTCAAGAAATATATTTCTTTATCGATCAAACAATATTATTTATCTTCAAAATTCTTTGTGATATTAGTTGCATAATTGGTAGGAAGAAATTGATTTAGAGGTACATGCTTAACTAATGTGATTCCCCCAATCTCAAAATGACATTTGTTCCTATTATTATCCTATGTAGTAATTATTTTATTTTTTTCATTTCTTGAATATCAAAGTACATGGAAAAGATTAACAAATGTTATCAACAGCTATTTTGAATGTACTTTTGTTTCGTGTAAATTGAAACCTATGTGGCCTACACCGGGTCAGATGTAGCAGGTGTCACAGCCATCAGTGGCTTATGTTTGATATTTACCAGTTACAGAGTACAAAATGCATTGAGATGGGAACTATAATTAGAATTCACTTATACAATTTGAGGCTTTGTTATCTTTGTATCTTTATTAAGAACAATTGCTGATATGTTTTATTTTAAGTTAGAGTTAGTCTTTACACTGTTATATATGTGTAGCTTCTTGAGGTACATTTAGTTTAAAATAGTGTAGCAGGTGTTGCTGTAAATTGCTATTTGTTACTCTTTGTAATATTTCACCAAATTATATACTATACATAAATATAGAAAATAATACCCCATCCAAATTCCCTTTAAAGGTGGCTGGGCTGTGTACTAGGACTCGCTCTTTTAGAATGTAATGTAAACTAGTGTTGTGATTTATTTTGATATCTCTTTAGTTTTAGATTTCTTTGTATTTTGTGTGCTGTATTGTTGTTTATGTTGTTGAATTGATTTTTTTCATTTTTTTTTTCATTTTAATTTTGCATAATATAAAAAGGACTTTTTCAATTGAAAGAATTGATTGGACTGTCCAAGTACATGTAGCTTCATTTGTATCCTTAATCTGATAAGTTGAGTCATATTGTTTCATTTTGCTCAATAATCTATATATGCATGTATTTGTACAGAATGTTCAATCAGGTCATTTTGATGTATAGTAGTATGTTTAACATAAACAAGTTTTGAAAAGAATTCTATGAATGTTATGAAATACATTGTCAACTATTGTAATAGCCAATCTGTTCTTTGGCAACATTCTTCAGTTTAAAAACAGCAAACATAGTATTATATTTATTGAACTGAAAAGATCAGTCTTGCCCTACATTTGTATATGCTCATCATTATCCTACCAGCATTTAAAACTAATCATTTCTTCAACCTCTTTCTTCGATCATCTCTTCTTTCGCTACTGCTTGTAATTCGGTGGCTCTATTCGTTAAATGTGAAAAAGATATCGCTTAAACTTCAATATATCAGCAATGTGTCCCCCCCTGTACATGGTAGAGGGATTGAAGCTTGATACATTTAAGATTGTTTGGTACCGACTTTTACTAATGGTTGCTAACCTACTCTTTGCAGACTCTTGTCCCAGTTCTCTTTCAATTTATCCAAGGATTGGGAAATCCCCAAACAGTCTACAGAATCCTACAAACCCCTGAAGGAAGGGGTAAAAGACATGTTGGTCAAACACCATTTGTTCAGCTGGGATATATAGGTACTCCTGGCAGTGGCTTCAGCTGGAAACATCACCACTAACACACTATCACTCCCAGTAGGTTGTACTTCTCAGGCAAAGTAGTCAAAACTATAGCATCATCCCTCTGTGATTGAGGTAATGTATAAGGTATAACCCTGTGTGAGAGATGATGGAACATATCACACTTACCTTACGTTATCTTACATTTGTGATGCAGACATTGTAACTCTAATTTACCATGTGTGATGGAGAGGTAAATGCACCGGATACAAAATTAAAACTTGATGATTGAAGATATGGGATCAATTGTATTAGTAGCATTCAGTTTAATATCAGAGAAGTGATTTTTTTCTTTTTTTTAAAATACAGATTTTGGTGTTTTATAGGAGATGATAGTAATTCACAAAATAATATAAATTTACACAATATCTTCTTGTAAACCAGGAAATTTTAGCAGCAGTTTAATTTTCACTAGAAAAAACATTTATACAGAAGGAAAAAAACTGCAAATCATGTTTGCATTCAATTAACATATGACACCACTTAAAATCCATTGAATCTCAGCTAACCATAAGTGTTCAATAATTCACATCAACAAGTCAGAACTTAATTAGTCTTCAATCTTGAAATCACAAAAATATTGGTGTTTGTTATAACGTTCAACTTCATCTTAAAATGTCATTAATGATATCATAGAAGGTTGTATACTGGCTTGGTGTAGAAAAGGAATTTTAGAAAATAATAAATATAATATTTATGCATTCGTCACCATTTTAAGACATATATTTAACTGCTGTATTCAAACATCAAATCATGGAAGGAATTCATTACAATCAAACCTGTAATAGGATCTTCAAGTTTGTTTGGCAAAAAAAGTTCTTTTTTCTTCTGGTTGCTAATTTTGTTTCGATTTATCATTCCATTCAATTAAATATTAATTAATTTCACTCATAATTTAAAAGTCAAACTTGCTGGTGTCTGTATTTGTAATATCACTCAATGATTACATATATGATTACATATTGATATACAAGTTGTATATGAAACAAAATTGAAGATAGCTACAGCATTTATGAAATAAAACATTGCTATACGTTTATAGACATATGTTTTGTATGTTGCGATGGAAGTTTCTGTTAAGGTACCGTCATTCTGATAATTGCAATATAATACTATTCTATATGTACCTGTTGGTTTGCTGATCAGAACTCTCCTTACGAGAGGCATGTTTATGACATTCTAGCTTTAATAACAAAAGGTCCTTATATATCGTTGTGATTTTTTTTTTATATCTAAGTTTTAAACTGTTTTGTCTGCTTGCCTATTCTTTTTAAGTATTAATATTATTATTCTGTCGACTTTGCATTTGCTTTTCTTATACTTTCATTTGATAGTTTCTTTTGTGTTGTTTTTTTGTGAATGTTTATTCTTTTTGTCAGTCCTTTTTTTTGAAAGGGCATTGTTCTTTCAGTTGCATTTTTGTTAAATCTACTTATTAATTATCAATGAAATCCAAATATTTGCCAAAACATCTATAAATGAATGTTTTTTTCAATCATTGGAACAGTTTGGTATTGTTGAAAAATATTGTCAATAATGAAAGATAGAAGTGAGAATTATTATTTTCGCATTATTGTAAGATCACGTTTTAAACAAAACCTGTGGTAATGTTGTGAATTCAAGCCATGCAAGTCCTATAGCAATCATTAGGTGGACAATTACAACAAAACATGTATGACTTTAATGAACCCCATAATGGCATAGTACCCAAGAAATAAGTTTACTTCAGGCAAATTCTGTTATTGATTTGATGTTCATGTTGCCGTTCCTGACTAGGAAGAAACTTATCAAGAGTCAAGGTTGTGGTAAGCATTTTACAATTATTGTTACGTTGTTGAACTGGTCAAAAGATTGAGCCTCCGTGGTATGTTATTATTGAAGTCATCACACTCGACCAGACAATGTCTCATATTTCAGAATGACTTGTTAAAAATGAAAGAGGTTATGTGTGAGATATTAAGAATATTTAAAAACCACACAACAGTGAAATTGTGGCATTTATGTGTTTATTTTTACTTGCGATACAAAGCAATTTCAGTATATTGAATATAGGCTCAATTGTTAACGTAAGGATGTGATTGTAGGATGTGAATTTACGTTTGCTTTTACGACATATGATTTGATTGACAGTGTGTAACCGAATGCTGTATTAAACAAGAGATGTGACAGGTTGTGAAATAGATAATGCAACACGAGCGCTGCCACATATGGTACAGGGGAAATATACCCTTAATGAGTTCCCCTGTTTTTGTAGCAGATCATTATGTTGTGTTTTGTTATAATGTCTCCTAGTTTCTTGTTGTATTTTTCCCCATTCCATCTGTTGTTCTGATTTCGTCCTTGTGTGTTGACAATGATATTTTGTATTTTACAATAGTTTTAACGCAGGACAATTTTAGGAAATAATGTCATAGAGATGTGATATATTTATAATTTGCTACAGTAAGAGTTTGATAATATAGTGCAATATATACGTAAAGTTTACTCCGGGATAATGAAAATAACAACTGTTAAAGTGATCGATTTCAGTGCAAGAATTATGCTTCCGGCAAGAATGAATGCATCTTGGTGTAAATGATATAATGAGTTCTATGACAATAAATAAACTGCAAAATTAAGGGGTGAAATTATTTAGGTTAAGTTGCATTTCCTCGGAGATGTTAAGTCCATTGTTGCATTTTGACGGCTGATATATCTGTCACATTCTATTACATTGCTTTTTATAATGCCTGGACTTGAGTGATAGAAAAAGCGTGTGGAACTGTTCGGTTTGAAATGTATTACAGTGTCACTTATCTGAAAATGGAATCTCAACAACTAATAATTACTTCTATATAGTTCTGACGAAAAGGAAAGATTAAACATATTTTAAGAAGGAACGTAACAGTAGTAAAATCTTCTCATTTGTTTATATCAAGATGCAATGCTATTACTTGGCAATATTCCATGCTGGCAACTGTTTCTGTGTCAGTTTTTCATGTTCAACAAGCTGTCATACATAACCCAAACAATAAGAGAACAATAACGTTGACAAATACATTGGCAAACTTCACTGCTGTTGAGTTGTCTGTGTCTATCACACCATTCTGGTGCCCAATAGGTTTTACTGGCTCGTAAACAGGAGATAGGGGATAACAGCCTCTGTTAATAATAAAACACGTTACCAACTAATTAATTTGAGTGCAAGAATACAAAGTGAACAGTAATAAAGCTGATGTTATCGTAAAGAGTACTAAACTGTCGAGAAAGACGTGTAACTTGGCAAGTATGTTTTGTGAGTTAAGGGCTAGTCACCAAATGAATTCCTTTGCATTGGAGGTAAACATAGTTATATGCTTGAGCCATCCATTATTTCTTTATATTAAACAGGTGTTGCGTCTTTATTTGGATATACGTGTTTGGGTTTCGGTACTCAACTCTACAAAGTACTGTTGACTTTACTTAGTAGCTCAAAACTATGGCATTTTGACCCTTGTTTCATGTTGCACTTGGACAAGGTATTATTTATCCTAAGAGATTAATGTATGTTTTGTTGCGTTTTGTTTGACCTAATGAACATTTAGGACCTTAGGAAGAAAGGTCAGGCGAAATCGAAATATATCGAATTGCTCTTGCTAAGAAATTCTAGATTATAATGCTAAATATGGTTTAGTGATGCTTAGTTTCTCGTCTGTTTCATAAAGTTATAATGCATTACTCTGTTGATTGATAGCAGAGACGTATACATGTAATATATACGTCTCTGTTCATAGTGACGACAAGATAGGAATACTGATGTACATTGTACAAGGTCTTTCCTGAATTTGTTTGTATGAAAGAAAATGCAATGTATTGTGCATGTGTTGCAGAAATGTTTCCCCGTTTTTAGGTCACCTGAGCTTTGCTCAAGTGACCTATTCTAATCGCTTTGCGTCAGTCGTCGTGCGTCGTGCGTAAACGTTTTACATTTTCAACTTCTTCTCAAGAACCAGTGGTTGGATTTTTTTCAAACTTAGTTAGAATCTTCTTTGGTAGATGCAGCTACAAAATTGTAAAATTGGGATTCCTACCCCAACCCCTGGGGCCAGATGGGGCCCCAAAGGGAAAATTAACAATTATTTCAAAAATCTTCTTCTCCAGAAGTACTACATTCAATTTCAGTGCATAAAAAGAAAGATCATCAGGGGCGTTATTTAAATTGTAAATTTCAGGACCCCCGAGCTATCCGTTCTCCCTTGGGGAGTGGGTAAAGTTTACTTTAGTTTATATAGGGAAATACCACTTTTGGGTATATTTTGACATTTTTCTGTAGGAAATTATATTTACTTGGTGAGAATTACCCTTGGAGGATGATGGTTTCAAATTGTAAAATTGAGATTCCTACCCCAACCCCTGGGGCCAGGGCGGGGCCCCAAAGGGAAAATTAACCAATATTTCAAAAATATTCTTATCCAGACTCAGAGGTACTACAATGATTTTCTCTGCATGGAAAGAAAGATCACCAGGAGCTTTATTTAAATTGTAAATTTCAGGACCCTCAAGCTATCCGTTCTCCCTTGGGGAGGGGGTAAAGTTAACTATAGGTTATATAGGGAAATAACACTTTGGGTATATTTTATCCATTTTCAGCAGAAAATTACTCAAACTTAGTCAGAATCATCTTTGGTGAATGAGGGTATTACATTGTAAAATTAGGATTCCTACCCGATCCCCAGGGGCTAGGGCGGGCCCCAAAGGGAACATTTACCAATATTTTCAAATTCTTATCCTTTTATGACATGACAAGTATTGTATTTCACTTAGTTAACATGCTGATTTCCACATCACATCTAAACAATAAAATAAAGCTACCAGTACCTATGATATAACTCAGGTGACCGCTAAGGCCCTTGGGTCTCTTGTTAATGTTTTGTTAGCAATAAAGTACACAGGAGTCGTTAAGGGATTATGTAAGTTCGTGAGTAGGTAAAAAGGCAAAGGTCAGAGTTGAGAGGTGAGAGTTGAAACGCCACTTACTGTAGTACAAGACGTTACATGTGTATTTGTGTGAGTGGATAGATGACACAGATTTTATCTATAGTTTTCGACGGGATGCTGCACTTTGCCAAGACATAAACGCATTTTTGTGTTTGGTCTGTATACTCACATCTGCATGCGTTAGTTTACGGCTGATAAGGGTTGTCTCCCATTGATGGAGATATATACTCACTTCCGTAAAGGGACCCTAAGTATGCTGGAACCCCATTTTAGGTTTATGTTTGATGACATTTAAGCTGAGATAAATATAAGCGATAAAGAAGTATGTGGCGTTGCTGAGGACAGCGGGTCGTATAGTACCTACATTCAAGTTAAGGTATTTGACGAAGGAGGACGTAATATAAATTTGTCTTTCGGAAGATGTACTGTGATGTGTATGGAATATGAGGTAAATGATCAGATGTTAGGAGTCTGGTCGATCAGTTGCAAACTGTGATTAAGAACATGTGGATGGGAAAGGTTATGGAGTTACCTAGCCAATCATTGATCTTGTTATTATTTTGTTTGTTATGTTAACTGATATTGTTAATCTTTGTAAATGTGTAAATATGTAGACCACCGAATCGTAGTAAATAATATTTGACTTGCCTCCCTAACTGTTTTTTAGTTGGCGGCTAGGAATTGCATTATACAGATTTTATCCGTGTTTCTAGTTTAGTTTGGAACTAGGTCGAGCTACGCAGACCTCATGTTCATTGATAAAAGACCTCAAATAATAATTAATTCGAAATCTTTGAAGGTATCGGGTAAATATGTCTGCAGGTTTGTTATGTAATTTATGAAAAGAAGTTTGAGATCTCACTATGAATAGATTAATTAGAACTTATCGTAGTTTCAGAAACCTTTCGGGTGGTCATTTAGATATCCTTATGCTAAAATGCTTAATGGGTTTTGGAAGTCATAAGAGGCCACTTGATAAAAGTTCAGTGTGTCAGCGGGATAATGTATCCAAATCGGTGTCGCATAAAATGGCTTGTTATTTGATGGAATATGGTTCTTTTTTGAAATTGTGTTTAATTAAAAAAATAAAAATATCGATATGGATAAAGAAGTGGCATGTATAAATGATTAAGTGGTGGAAAGGGTATAAGCACACACAAAAGAAGAATCCGAAGGATCAAAATGTCTTTTTAAAGTATTTGGAATGGTCACTATATTTTAAAACCACACGAGTGAAATTGACACGTGATGTTATTTTTTGCAGTGATTATATGTGTAAAGTTATACGTTAAAATAAAATACAGGGGGGACAAATTGGAGACTCCGAATGTTATTTTGCAGTGTCATGCTATATGAGCTATTGGTTGTGTTTACTATATGGGATACTCCCATGTTTTGAGTGGCTATCAGATGCTAGCTAATCTGTTATTCCAACAAAACTTACGACACAGAGGGGTGCCTTTATTACACGGTTATTTCCCAACCCTCAATTACTGGCCATTACTACAACCCATGATTAGCGCTAAGCCTTTTGTTGTCGTCACTTTACGGACCCATCAGGGTGAGAAAAACAAACTCGCTACAGGGGAGGGGCCGGAAACGTCAACTAGTGTACAAAACATCCAACTGTTGACTGTTATTACAGGCAGATGAGAGAACACATTAAAGAAACACACACAAGAGGTACTAAGTATCCTCGTGATTTGGGAGTGGTAAGGGGAGACGCAACAAAAGGCACAGGAAACAGTTGTTGGGGTTCTTGCCACACTTCTGACAGGCCATGACTTTGCAAAATTTACCAAATGTTGACAGACTTTTCTAATGATGATGGCAACTGCTGTCCATCAAGTTTATGTATAGCCTGTCATAAGATATTAAGATGATTTTCTATGGTTATTTCAAGCTGAATGGTAATTATTTCATTGTGTTAAACCCCTTAGATTAAGATAAGAGAATACAAGTTTCTTGTGATGCTCCGTTAGTCGACATGGTCAATGATGATGATGGGGTTGAAATCTGTCGTTAGCTACGAAGCAAACATTCTGTTTTACTTAGTGCTTGTAGGATGAATATGTTTAATTTGAGAAAGTGGAATTAGTAAAAGATTTTTGTGTTGAAATGTATGACTATAATATATAATATAAAATTCATTTTACTAAATCAGTATAACTAGCGTTAACATCTCTCACTATTACCTTTTTGACAATGTTTATTTCTGTTTGACCATCTACAGTTATACCTACTGTTTCTCGTTGATTTTTCTCTAAATGAAATGTTGTGATATTATGACACAAATATGGTTTCAATTGTCTCAAAGTTGTTTACGTTTCATGATAACCTGTCTGAAATTGTACTTTTTGGCTGAAGGGTATGCTATACTACTATATATCTTTTTTCTGTGCTCTCGTTATGGACAGTATATGTAAACAAGAATCAGTAACTGTGGTCATTTGTGAATGGTATTGAGGAAATCGCCGTCATGCCTCTATCACAAATGCTTATGGTGACATGTTGTGAGATACAGCCACTGATTAACATTATGAACTATAGTGTACTTCCATTCTGGTTGTCTGTGCAATATTTCCTTATCGTATCCTCGTTTATATATTAATTGTATATGTATAAAATAACATTAATATGTTGAATTAAAATCTAGATTGACAAACAAATGCTATAGTTGTTGTTTATCAACTGTGTCCAACTAACAGGTAAACTGAAGCAGGTGACGACACAAAAAACCTGTAACATTTTTCCAAGTTCCAGTAAAATGGAATAAACCATAGCGTCCTCGCACAGGGACAATACCAAAATGTAAAATCAACAAATGTTTTTGACAATAGTATACCGCGGTATTTCAGCCTGAAAGAAACATAAAGGCATTCACAAACATTTAATCCTTGCAGCACTGTTAATACATATTTTGTATTGTATACTTTTAACGTAATCTAAACCAAGTTTCAATCTGATATTTAAAATTATTCCAAAAGCATCACGAGGTTTTAATGTTTGTAAGGTGATGTGAACTCTAATTTAAGATACGGCGTTTCCTCGGAAACATGTTAATAAGTCAGTATTAAAATAAAGACGAGGTGGTCAGCCGTAAGTAGATCTGACATGCTTGTATTACCGCCTACTTGGTCAGCCGTAAGTAGATCTAACATGCTTGTATTACCGCCTACTTGCTTCCTGTGGAAACAGTGCGACTTTACATGGTTAAGGTCGACTGTATTGTATCGGGCTTCAATGATATTCCTATAAATATATATATATAACTGAAAGCTTAGAATTAATGTCGTGTGGTTAAAAAATTCACTTTCGCGTTCTTCATTGCGAAATATCATATTTCAACACCTTCAACATAATAGATTTTAAACCTATAAGTTAATGTGTCCCAAACTTAATGAACTTGTTAGGATTGTGTCCGCCCGACAATTGGGCGTGCTGTGGACCTCTCGCCTTTCAGTAGTTACACCATCGATTACCGCTATTAATCAAAATAACACGAGCTAGGGTGTAAACTTGATAGCCATTATTTTTCGTGGAGAGACGACAATACACTTCATAATTTTTTCGTGGAGAGACGACAATACACAAAGCAGCGGATGGAGAGTTTTATTTGAAACATAACCATTTCGTTATGAGAGATTATTAATTGCGTAGTTGACGTCACTGGGACAACCTTACGAGTTTTATATATAACATGGCACGCTTTGAGTGCTTGAATGACATTTCGTGAGAGGCCGCCACAGATTTTCATACTTCCTTATTCGACAAGTCCAGATCCGCTGATAAGGTTTAATTGCCCCTGCATCGTATGCAAGGTAACCTTTCTGAAATATAGTTTCCTCAATTAAACCAATACGTCACACTATGACATACATACTGATGCGTTGTGTAATGCTATTACGTGCTACGGAAGTACTTGTTTCGTAGTGATGCAGACACAGGAACATGCTTGATGATGATTGGTCTAATCGAGTTGGAGAAATACATTACAAGTAAAAAATACAAAAGAGCAACATAAACATCGAACAACGCATCTGAAATACATCGGAGGGTCAATATTATTTATACAACGATATATTGATGTTTACACCTTTGATAGGTTATCAAGAAGTGTCAAACTATTCACTCA